CCCCCTGTTGTTATTGATATAACTTTAGAACGACAGCAGATGTACGCCATTGGCCGATATTTATAGTAACGGCGTAACGGCCATCTTGTTTGACGTCATTAAGGGATTCCCACTTTGTTGTCGTTCACGGGGGCAACACAACCGCAAAGCACTATCTATTGCAGTATTTTTAAAACCTGTAGCCTACTGTGGCGGGTACCTGACTTCGAGTTGGGAAGTAAAGGACTAGATTCTAATATAAAGATTACTAAAAACTCTGGCTGCTGTCCAGACACAAGGATAAATTGACTCACCAATGGCTTGTAAAGAGGGGAGATTGGGAAATATGTACTACTAACCTTTTGTCCTCACAAGACAGTCACTGCAATGGAACCCACAGGGAGCACGAGGCAGGGGTAGACCACAAGAGACATAGAGGAGATGCGTGGAAAGGGACATGAGAGAGATGAAGCTCACTTGGAACGAGCTAGGAGGAAGGATGGCTCAGGGTAGACATAAATGGAAGGAGCTTGTATGTGGCCTATACCCTGCCAGGGGTGAAAGTGAAAGGCATTGATGAACCTTTTGTCCAGCCACTTCTTGAGGTCCATCCAGAGTGTATGATTGATAGTATGTCGTCGTGCTAATGAGGTGTATGTGGGATAGTTTTTCAGAATTTTTCTGCAAGGAGATGGTTAATGGTAATGGAATTTATTCAGTTAAAATCAGGAGGATCAGGCCTGATGAAGTTTTCTGTTTGTTTTATTATACATTATTCGTGCAAATTAACCCTTAGAGTGCTGATCGCGTGGTCGCGTCGGCCCGAACTTCCATAAAAGGCGGTCACGATAGACATTGGCATAGTATAATGGGAATATATATATAACGAAAAGAACTAAGTACTAATTTTTATACTGCTGGCTAGTAGGCTACGCAGAATTGATTTCCACCGCCATTTTTCTTGTCACTGGTTTCAATCGAGGTGCAAGGAGTTTTTTTATTCACTTTGAAGTCGAGTGACAGTGAAGTTGGAAAATTGGCTATTGCGACCCGCGACAAACATGAAAATAGTGTCGCTTCAGATTCAGATGTTCCGTGTATCTTCCTTGAATCGGAAATTGATTTCGAGGGTTTTGATGCTAGAGCTAACACTTTGTGGAATATAACGTAGGCCTACGAAGCATTTAGACTCTGGTCTAGGTCTATAGATCTAATGAACAGGCAGTTTTTATTCAGTCATTTCCAACACCACTACTACAACAATAACATCACTAAATACTTTTTGCTTAACATATTCATAAAGAACTTTCAATATTCTAAAACTTTTATTCTTACCTTCATTAGAAATTTTGACAAATAAAAAAGTTATTGGCAAAAAAAAAGCGTGTATGTGCAAATCTAGCATTTATCCAAAATAAATTCAGCACAGAGGGAAAATATAAGGGGAAAGAAGTCAACGCTCTAAGGGTTAAAAATCTTGCTAATAATTGGATTGACTTTTGGGGTTTTTTCCTTCCCCCCAGGGACCACCGAGGACGTCCAACCTTCTTGCCCCAATCATGCTCCTGACGGGCCACGAGGGGGACATCTTTTGCTCCAAGTTCTCTCCGGACGGGCAGCTACTCGCTTCTGGTGGCTTCGACAGATTGATTTGTGAGTTACTACTGAAAAAATACCCAACGAACCAGTGGCACATATATTATTATACAGTATAACACGGATAGGTCAAGCACAGAAAATTCGAAATCATACATCCGTCGAACTGTGCTTGAGGTCCCTTTTTTTTTCTTCCACTTTATCTTTGTAAGATATCCCTCGAACTACGGATCTCTCGAACTGCTGAGCCGGTCCTGACGAATTCGAACTATCCATGTTATACTGTATGATCAGCAGATAGTCAGTCACTCTTTGAAAGCTATCATGTTAGACTTGTCCAAAAAATGTTTTTAAAAATCTGAATTAGTTGGGGGTTTTTTCTTTTTCTTCCTTTCACAAAATTATAAATATCAAATTTTGAATAGTAGTATAAACGCTTGTAGTGTATTTCTGTATGCTTCATGGGAAGCTGAGAATGTTTCGGGGTGTTCTATGGTCTGCTGGGGTAATAATATAGTGTTAATTTAAAAGCGCTTAGAGCCTGCTGTTGAGCGGGGATATGCGCTATACAAATGCTATCTATTATTATTATTATTATTATTTCTCTATTCTATTGCAATGTTGTTATTCTTTAAATTCTCTCTCTTCCAGATTTTTGGACAGTATACGGAGAATGTGAGAATTTTGCCATGCTAAAGGGCCACACTGGAGCAGTTATGGAACTCCAGTATTCTACAGATGGATCGTGAGTTTCTCTACCATCTTTGCTGCTCTCTTTAACCCTCTCCGTACGCCTTAGGGTCATTTTGTACCCTGGGGGTTGTATTCTTCAAATTTAAGAATACTTCAAGTACGAAGATCTCTTAAAAACTTTCAGTATTTCTCAAAAACTCATTTTATGACAGACTGCTATGCAAAGTGTACGGATCGGATTAACGAGTAATTTCCTCTTTGGAAAGTGGTGGCACAGAGTTCCCCACATTCTATGGATACGATAGTAAAACATGACGTATGGATAGGGTTAAATGTGAGATGCAATTTAAACAAGATGCTTTGTGCATTGTTTTTCCAGTGATGTGATCAGGAGTGCCTTTGAAAAAAAAAATGTTTTGCACGTTTCAGATAAATTGCTGTACTTTTAATTTTTGTTTCATTTAGTAGTACTTTTTAAAGATCATTGATGTATTGATAACATCCATGTGCAATTTTTCAATGTGATTCAGTCATTTCCTTATCTCTGATTAGATCTAGATAGCTCCTTGTGGCATCTCCTTTCTGAATACTGCCTTAGATATTTTTTAGATCTGTAAAAATTTATTATATCTATTAAAGGTTTTCTGTCAAAATAATGCTGTAAAAAAGGGACTCCTTCTTTTCCCAGCATGCTCTTCTCAGCGTCCATAGACAAGACTGTAGCAGTGTGGGATATCGAGGTCGGGGAACGGCTGCGCAAGTTGAAAGGTCACCAGACATTTGTCAACACTGTGAGTCCAGCGCGCAGGGGTCCCCAGCTCATCTGTAGTGGCAGCGATGATGGGACTGTTAAGGTAACCACGAATAATGTTTACTTTTACTTTTTCCTCCTCTGTTGCCGTTAAGCGTCGAGGGGAGAAATGCTGGGGTAAAATTTAATATTTAGCTGCTATCTCAATATATAGCTCTAGATTCTTTAAATCTTTTGATTTTTTTTACAACATAGGCGACATGATTATATTATAATGTTATGACACTGGTATTTATCCCGTGATTACTGCTCTCTCTTTATCCCCCCCACCTCCCTTTCTCTCTCTTTCTCTCTCTGTGTATACTGCATGCAAACATGTTCACTCAATCTCACCAACATCTGCAGCTATGACATGTATATAAAACTTGTCTAAATTGATACCGTATAAGTGATATAAAAAGATAAATGTGTCACGACACGGTGGAATCAGGTGCTTGTCAATTTTTTGGGATTTTAAGTTATTGGTATCATCTTAAGGGTTATTCATTTGCCTTGCTTTGGATGAAAAAAAATCCTATTATCTTGAAAAGAAGTCGAGATACTTGCAATTGAAAGAGGTGGGGTCACCTGGTTTCAGACGTAATATTAGTGAGAAAATGGCTGCCAAAGTTTGTTGACTTCCATAGCTTGAGAGGCTTTGGAAACTGCAAATAAAAAATTTTTGTGCCTTTATTCAATATTTTTCCATAAAATCCACATATAAAACTGTTTTTGAATGGACATACGAGCTGTTGAGGAAAAAAAAATTAGAAAAAAAATTTCCAATGTGGCCGAAAAATGCCAATTTATCGGATTTCATTATTTTGACGAGCACCTGATTTCACCATGATGCCTCCCAAATTGTCGCAGTAGAAGCTTCCCTTGATTAAGTTTGTGAGACTGGACTACCGTACTTTCATGATAGTTCCCCAGTGCCCACTTCTTGAATAAGCAGATTTAGTAATCAAACCCGGCCTAGGTAATTCGAGGGATATCTTACAAAGATAATGAAGGAAGAAAAAATGGAACCACAGACACAGTTCAACGAATGCGTGGTTTCGAGTCTTCTGTGTTCAACCTATCTGTGTTATTATACTGTATTCAGAAGCCACATCATATCCTGTTGATACAAAAGTTTGATGAGGTTGGTTTTTTTGTTTCTGTTCCTTCTCTCAGACATGGGACGCTCGCAAAAAGGGCACGATCAACACTTTCCAGTGTACCTACCAGGTGACCGCCGTGACCTTCAACGACACCGCCGAGCAGATCATCTCTGGTGGCATAGACAATGAGCTGAAGGTTTGTACCTTTTTTTGTCATTGTGTCGGGGCGGTGCCACTGACTGAAGTGTCTTTAGGCCATTCCCAAAGGGGGGACTTTAACCATGTTCTTATGCACAGTAGAATTGCAATTGTAAATGGGCTGATTCATCAATGTCATGCTCATAACTGTGCCTGAACTGCAACTGGGAACTGCTGCTTTTTCTTTCCTAATCGTTACTCTCATAATTTTTTCTCTACTTCTTTTGTATGTTTGTCACATTCTTGTGACCCGCTATTTCCGGGGTGCCTTGATAGTCGAAGATGACTTTGTGCTGTTGAAGCTGGAGAGGTGAGCAGAGTAAGCCTGATTCCTTGTAAGGACTTCTCTGTTGACATCCAACCTTTAGCGCTCTTATGACCTTATGCAGTTGCGAGCGCTATAAAACCTCTACTAACACTAAAAGTGTTGTCAGTTGTGTATTGTGTTGTGTGTGTGTGTGTATGCATCTGCCCTTAGATGACTCCCCAGTTAGATTTTTATTAGCTGCCCTCACTTCCTTGTTCATTTTGCGTACACTAATGCGTGTTGAAACTTCTAGGGTGTTGTTTGGTTGTAGTAGTAACTCACATCTAGGCTCCACTACTTTCACTCCTTATACAGTAAAATCGGATATATTACGAAGTCGCCACGACTGAACTTCAATTTTGTTCAATCCTAGTGTTCGTTATAGCAACATGATCAACAAATTGCATCACACTGTAGGGCTTTGCATACTGCAACGTCTGCTTCCTCAGACCAGTGCGCTATTCATTACGTAGAATTACATTTATGTCTAGACTAGCCTTTCATTGTCCAGAAGCCGGGGGTAGGGGTGAATATGATGAATGAGGAGCGTCTGTATATATATCTGCCAATTTTCCACGCCAAAAACGCTTGTTGTGGGTGGGTATGACTTACGTAATTATCATGGGTGTGAAATATCCGTCTGTTTGCCATCTCACCAGGTGTGGGACCTCCGCAAGAACGCCGTCCTCTACAAAATGCGTGGCCACTCTGACACAGTAACTGGCCTAGAATTGAGCCCTGAGGGTTCCTACCTCCTCTCCAACGCTATGGACAACACATGTGAGTACTTTTCATCATGTTGCCGGGGTGATGAGCTGCTGGGACCTGTTCAAAGATTCTGTATAATAAGATTGGTTCACTCCTCTCTTTGAACCAATTAAAAAAGTGTCCTGAGTTACCCTACTTGTGTGGAAAGGTCATTAAAATAAGAAAGAGCCCAAAACTCGGCACTGAGCAAACTGGAACAGCTGATGCGTAAATTCCTATTCTTCTTCTGGAGAAACGAAAGAGAGCTTCAAAACAAAGACTAAAGACTGCGGTGCCATCTGAACTAATGCGCAGACTTCCGCGGACACTTTTTGGCCGAGTGGACCATCTTGTTATTTACAATCTTTGACTCAGTGGCAGCAGAAAACTTCCTCCCCCCCCTTTTCTTTTCCTTCCCTCTCTTCCGCTGTTTACGGGCACGCTCCTCCTCCCCTGCCTGCTCGTTGTTCCCTGAGAAAAATCTCTCCAAAATAGGAGTGGTCTCGAGAATCTGTACTACAGTGGAACTAGGATTCAATGAGGTCGCTGGGCCTGACTTAAAACCTCGTTGAATCCGAGTGTTCGTTATAGCAAACACAAGGTTTTGGGTAGATAATAACAGGCACTGAGCAAATAATGTTTAAAGAGAAGTCACAAGTAGTGCCTGAAATGCCTGCATATTATGATCTGTGCAAAAAAAGACCGATTCGTTCAAATGCACGCCTGTGTCATCTCGATTGTTTACCAAAAAGGTGTGTTGCTGTGTAGAGCCTGGCATAAGGCAACTTTTGATTCCATAGACCAGCGCACAATTCATTATGTAGATCCATGTCAAGACTAGCTTATCAGTGTAATATAGCAATCAGTTGCCGGGGGAAAAAAAGACTGACGAGTTTGTGTCTGCAACGTTCAAGTTCAACACCCGGACTGCTAGTGCCCCCCCCCCCCCCACACGTGTGCAGGCAGCCCATCCGACCCCGACACACGCCAGAGTAGACTCGTGCGCGTGCTAACAACGCATGTGTTGGTATGAAAAAAGGCCGCAGATTGGTCGCATGCAATCGGCTAAGTGAACAAGAGGCCTAGTTCACGATGCAGGTGCAATGGATGGTTTCCAGGATTAGATACAGTTCGTTCTTGGAGAAAAAAGAGAGAAGCCACGTCTGCGGGGGCTGTTCACCCTGGAAGCGACCTCGTTGAATCCGAGCTCGCTGATTTAAGTGCTCGTTGAATCCGGGTTATTTTTATTGATTTTAAAGAAGAAAAAAAACGGGGAATCTATCTCATCTCGTTGAATCCGAGTTCTCGTTGAATCCGAGCTCATTAAATCCGAGTTCCATTGTATAGCCTTTGAACTTAGCAATCTATTAATACATTCCTCTTTTTACAGTTAGATGTACTATCATGTAACCTCATAAGGCCTGGCACTATTGCACAGGCCACAAAATTAAATATATTTTTTTCTATGTGGATTATCTAAAACAAGAGAATTAATTTTTTTTTTAAACAGTCCTGAAATTTTTATTCATTGTTATGTCGGGTTAAGACCTTTGCACTTTTCAGTTAGAACTTACTCATGTGCATTTTTTGCCCATCTCAGCTTAGACTGGGTTGATGGGGATGACAATGTTATCTTTTAGAGATACAGGTTTGCCGGATCGATAACAACAAAAGTACACATGCCGGATCGATAACAACAAAGGTACACATTTGCCGGATCGATAATGACAACAAAGGTACACATTTGCCGGATCGATAACAACAACAACAAAGGTACGCATTTGCTTGATCGATAAGAACAAAGGTACACATTTGCCGGATCGATAACAACAAAGGTACACATTTGCTGGATCGATAACAATAAAGGTATACATTTGCCGAATCGATAACAACAAAGGTACACATTTGCCGGATCGATAAGAACAAAGGTACACATTTGCCGGATGGATAAGAACAAAGGTAGACGTCAGTGAAAGACCTGTCCTGTGACTGGTGGTGATGTGAGGTGACCCTAAAGGTTGGGTAGAATCATCAGTTGAATCTGTTGTACCCTTTGTTTCACGGAAAAAGAAAATGTTTAGTTAATTTTGCATTTGTCTACTAGACTAATGTGATTTATGTTTTTGTTGAGTTTGAGTATTAGTATTGAAAAAGGAAGTTTGGGGGTGTCTCTTTGAGAGTACCATATGTGAGGCGTGCTGACAAAATGAGTTATTTCTCGCAATCTAAGAATGGCTGACACTGGGGTCAGATTTTTCGATTTTCAGTTGATGCCATTTTGTTCAAGTCTACTAAGTCTTTTATTATTCCATACTTACAAATTGTACAAACTCTACCTTTAAAGTTGGTGATATATGAATTTCTATATGGTTAAAATCCAAGTAGTCACTCATTTTGTGAGCACACCTCACCTATGTAATTCCTCTCTTTTCTGTTTACAAAGAAGTAATTTGCTTCTTTTTTTTTTTCATTCCTCAGTGAGAATCTGGGACGTGCGACCGTTTGCTCCTCAAGAGCGATGTGTGAAGATCATGTCTGGCCACCAACACACGTTTGAAAAGGTAGGTACACATTTTTAGTGTTTGCTTGACGTGTTCAGTGCATTCTTGCGATTATCGAGTTCCGAAGTAGCTAGATAGGGGGCGCTTACCTGATCTGTATGCGGGGTTCCCAGTCTGTTATAAGAAAAACGGAAAAAAGCCAGAAATTTCATTTTCAGATTTCCTTGTCAGAAAAACGTTGTGTAGATATCTAGGTAGATGAAAATGAAATTAAACAGGAGGAAGTCAGGAAATCAAAGGGTGCCCATCATTCAGAATTTGGGAGAATTGTTGCAATTGTTTATTTATTTTTATTTTATGAAAATTACAACAGTAACACCTCTGTCATCTTTTAAAAAAAAGAATCACTCTGAAAATAGTTACAAAATCCTGGGGAAAAAACATTTTTAAAAAAGAGAAAAATAAGCGAGGGGGAGGAGATCATATTTATGGGTGATCATCTTGTACAGACAGCTGTTTGAGGAGGTCCGACTATATTTAAATGATTTATTTCAATTTTTTTTCTCCCCCATTTGACCATACCACAAAGTGTTGTTTCAAACTTCGGTCATTTCTTTTTTCCTTTTCTTGCAGAATTTGTTGCGATGTTCGTGGTCCCCGGACGGCAGCAGAGTGGCCGGGGGTTCTGGCGACCGGTTTGTCTATGTCTGGGACACGACGTCTAGACGTGTGGTCTACAAGTTGCCAGGACACGCAGGCTCTGTCAATGAGATCGACTTCCATCCTCTCGAACCTATCAGTGAGTTTTGGGCTGTTTTGGGTCATTTTTTTGGGTTTCTTTCTAAACTTGCCATTACTTATGGATTTAGTACTTTGAAAGTGTGAGTAAATTCAGTTGTAGATTGGGTTTATTATTTCAGGATCTTTCCATCCCCGCTACGGTTTCTAGAAGCGACTTAGGTCCTTTTCTGAATCTGCAATCAAAATTATGTCATCAGTACATGATCTGATTTCTTCATTCTCTTTGAGACCTGGGCTTTCAAAGTGAATTGAGAAAATACTACACTATACACATTATGTGTATTTTGCCTATCAAATGCTATGAGCATACAATCACGTCGTAGCCATATTTTAGGTAAATGTTACTTTTTTGGATGAGGAGTCACTTAGATACTTGTAGAACTTGTGTGGCCCAGCATTATGTGATGAAAAGGTCGAGGTCATAGGTTCGAAATGCAAGAAATGCCAAGTTTGTTCATGCTAGATTTCAAGGACACCCATAAAGACGCTAACCTGAACCCTCTAGAAATTACTGGAATCTGTCGGAGAACAAATATATACAAATGGGCTGCTTAGTGTAAGACTCAGCCGTGTGCTGCTTTGAAAAAGGACATTTCTGCTGTAAACTGAAAAAGCGCCTTTTTTTTATCCACAGCAGTTTCGAGAATAAGAGGGGGGGGGGGGGGGGGGGGGTTGTCAGCATAGCTATTGGAACATATTCTTCCAAAATTTCAATTCGGATTTAATCAAAAACTAGTTGCAGCTTCGCTATGATTTTTTCACACAAGTAGGGTAATTGATCAGGTTTTCGATTTTGCAAATAACAAATTTTGGCCTCAACATGAAAAAAGGTGTTTTGTCAGCTTACGTCTGGGATTGTTTGTGATTAAGTCTGACACTGAACAGTTGAAATGTCAGTTTTTGTTTGCAATGGAACAAACTATCTTACTTCCTTTAAGAAGTATATATTATGTATGTTGCCAATACACTCCTCCTTTTATACTTTTATACATGCTACGAAGATGAAAATTTCTATCTGTCTTCTGGCCAAAGTACTTTTTTGGCTTCCATCCTCTTTTATTCAGAAGTTTTACCTTTTGTATGTCGTGTATTATGTATAGCCTAAACTGTGAATGTAATCTTACTCAACTCTCAACGTGTGTTTGCTTGTTTTCAGTTTCCTCGTGTTCCAGTGACAAGAAAATTTTCCTCGGAGAGCTGGAATGACCTCTGACCTTTCTGCCATGCCATTCGCAAAATCTTCATAGTCACCATTGAGTTGTCATCCCATGTACGGAAGAGAGATACAAGAGCAGGAACGATTGATCGTTGACCAAGGAGTGAGAGAAAGAATGAGCCTGCGTGTCGTGTAGCAGAGAGAAGGAGAACTGTCGAGTGAACGAGAGGAAAGAAAGCTGGAATGTTTTAATTTTGTGTGTGGGGAATAACTGAGTGTTGTTGTTTATATCTCTCTATGGAATTGTTAATAAACTTTTGACAAATATTTGGCCTGACTTTGTTTTGTGTCCTGCTCATCATAGCCGCAATTGACGCCAAAGTTTGGTCTAGCCCCCGAGGCAGCGCTACTGACTGGAGTGTCTTTAGGCCATTCCCAAAGGGGGGACTTTAACTTGTTCTTATGCACAGTAGAATTGTAAATGGGCTAATTCATCAATGTCATGCTCATAACTGTGCCTGAACTGCAACAGGGAACTTCTGCTTTTTCTTTCCTAATCCTAACTATCATAATTTGTCCTCTATTCTTTTGTATGTTTGGCACACTCTTGTGACCAGCTATTTACGGGGTGCCTTGATAGTCGAAGCAAACCTCGTGCTGTTGAAGCTGGAGAGGTGAGCAGAGTAAGTCCGATTCCCTGTAAGGACTTTTATGTTGACATCCGCCCCTTGGCGCTCATATGACCTTTTGCAGTTGCGAGCGCAGTAAAACCTCTACTAAAACAAAAGACAACCTTGAATACGTTCAGCCGTTTTTGTGAAGATTTACAAGATTGATTGTTCAATCACATTGTTATGAAGTGGTATATGTTTAACAGCCTTATCAACACTATTAGTGGGTGGTTGGCAGGTGCTCTTGTGTGGTTTGCTTCTTCTTTCCTATCAAACGTCTATCTCCTTATCTCCCCTTCTTCTTTTTTATGTTTGTCACTCTCTTGCAACACCTTTAATCTTCTGGCGCTCATATGACCTTATGCAGTTGCGAACGCTGTAAAACCTCTACTAAAACGAAAAAACAACACTATCAGGATATTTAGAAGGCGGGGACTCTCGAGTTTAAAGTCCATCTCCGAAAAGGCTGAGCTCAATATGGGAAATTTGTGGATACATGTGGTGCTTTTCCCAGGAGGGACACAACGCTGGACTGAGCTGAGGCTCGAACCTCACACTGTGGGGCGTCACTGACTTTGTCATTTTAACAGCTAACTTTAGAGGAGCTTTTGGACCTCTTTGTTGAGCCTCAAATCGGAGGAGGAATAACTGGTCTCATTTTACAATGGCCAAATCTTCCACAGGTGGACAGATAGATGAAAGAATTGCTGTCTTATTAGATTCTCTCAGGGAAGACACTCAAAGCCGCCCTCTTCATCTTTCTCTGACACCATTTTCCCAACGAAGTGACCAAACACTTCCCAATAATCCCAAGTCCGATGTGGGTGGTTTTGCTCCTTTCCTATCAAACATCTATCGTGCTGATCTCTCCTCCTGTTTTTTGTTTGTTACTCTCTTGTAACACCTCTAATCTTCGGCACTTATTGTGTTGCAGGTGCCGTAAAACTTACTAAAACTAAACAAGTTCTATGACGACAAAGTTACATTCCTGGAGAAGAACGCCACTTTTGAACCAGAACCCAGAAAACCTTTTCGGACAGATTTTGTTCATATGCCATGTTTCTGGCATGATTATAATGTTCGCCATAACAGATTAATTTAAGATATTTATAATGACAAACGTCGAATTAGAAGACCATCCTTGAATATTTTATCAAATACTCCGAGAATTGTTTTCCCCAGAGGATCATAAAAAAATATTGCAATCATAAACAAGTGTTTCTAAAACGTATTGCTTTTTGTCATACTATTAATTTAGTTTAAAATAGAGACTTTCCGAGTAGATTTCTTCACATTGTTGATAGCTTCTGCACAACGCAAAGACAAAAGAGTTATTAACAAGTGCATACATGGCGAGTTTCATCTTTCCATGAACTAAAAAGTTTTTAAAAGGCTCATCTTCTCTCTTTGGGGCTCTAAATCAAATGAGGTAGTGCTTGATGAAGCCCACGTTGGACGCTCAATGTTAAAAACAATCAGGAAACGACAGATGCAGTTTTTGGGACACCTGAATAGTCATAAGGGTCTTGAACATCTACTGGCAAAATTGAGGCAGGAGTAGGCCCAGAACAACATACTTAAGGAACCTAAACAAATGGGTAACTGGGAAAGATCAGGGAAACGTAGCTTTTTTTAAGAGCATCCGAGCAAAGGAATGAATGGAAAACCATGATCGTCGATATCTGTCACAGATCTGGCACTGGATGATGATGATAACGTCACACCTTCTAGTTAAAATTATTACAACTGATTCTATACAGAATAAGAATCAAATATCGGGAAAAGCTATATATATATGAATAGTTTTCAATTAATTAATTCTGTTTTATTCATTGGTGAAAACGATTTAGATGCAATTTCTTTATCGCATCGAAGATCGTCAATTATAAGGCTATTATAGTAAATTACTACACCGTAGGCTACCTTGCTCACATGTATGGCTCTTTCCAACGTTTCGGTCCACAAGGAAAACCAGAGACACTAAAATATAGAGACAGGAAACGAGGCCTCGCGGTCCGTGACAACAGTGCATTTGCGAACGTGACCGCTGAGACGCGAGCTAAAAATAACCAGGCGCGGTATCGACAGCGAAGCGCGTCGCGTTTAGCCAAAGATAGTACAAGACAAGATGGGCCACTCAGCCTAAAAAGTGTCCGCAGGAAGTATGCTCTTTGCTTCAGATGGCGCTGCAGTCTGTTTTGAAGCTCTCTTTCGTTTTTCCAGAAGAAGAATAGAAATAGCACCCCCTTGCGTGCGCAGATCGACTGCTGTTCATCAGCGGTTCGGGTACGTTCAGTGCGGAGTCTTAGGTTTTTTAAATTTTAATGACCTCTCGCCCTTCATTCTAAAGTCAAATTAAACGAAGAAAACCATCTCCTTTTCCTCCGGAAGAGGTTTTTTGTCAGCGTAATCATTTTTAAAAAGCGTTCTTCCGAAATTTATTCCAAAACTTGCTAGTTTCACTTTGATTTTTAAAAACTCAAGTAGGGTAACTCTGTTCGCAAAGAGTGCGCTTTTGTGAAGAGGGCGCCACCAAATTTTGAGGACACTTTTTTAATTGGCTCAAAGAGAGAAGTGGCCCATCTTGTTATGTACTATCATTGGTTTAGCCTAGCCTAGCGAGGCCTAGGCCTTATCGAAACGCGTCGCGTCTAGCGGGGCCTAGGCCTAGCTTTCTGCGGCTTAGGCCTAGCGCAATCAGAGAACTGGCCAAGGTTGCATTTGTAAACAATGCCTCTACAATTCTATACTCTTCTGGTCTACAGAAAAGGTTACACATGTTGATGAAAACAGGACAACAGATTTTAAAATTGAATTCTAGATCTAGGCCAAGTTATAAAATAATGTCGATCTAGCATAAAACCAAAACATGTTTTGATAATGTAGACCGAAAACTAGATCTAGATCTAGAATGATCTACATCTAGATTATCTAGATTAGATCTAGATCTAGATCTAGATTCTAGAGATCTAATTATCTAGTCGACAGTGTCAGTAGTTACATAAGAAAAAAAAAGTCATCAAGACTCTAGATCTAGATTCTAGATCTATAGGTTTCCAGCATAATAAAAATATGCCTGCCTTAGCCTAAATAGATCTACATGCGTTGATCTAGATATCTAGCTTACAACATAAGCAGTTTAATTTAAGATAGCCTAATAAAGGTTAATACATTTTTACTTATTTTACTAATTAGTTACATAGCCCTGCATGGGGTCTGTGGGTAGGGAAGAGTTGGAGAGGAAAGAAAGAGAGCATGCAATAGCATATAGATCTATATATGCCTATAGGCAAGGGTGAGAAAAGGCAATACAGACTGTAGAAATAGAAAACAGATTTCGTTTTGTGTAGCCTAGCCCAGGCATATATGGATAAAAACAGGAATACAAAGCGACAGATCGAACTCACCAGAGGCCTATATACATAAACATATGCATCTTTCATGGATTAATAGCATTTTACTGAAACTGGCTCTTACAATTAAGTGGGTGAATGTGACAGTCTTTCTTAGACTGTATTGCTGTATGCATTGTCTCTTGCTGATTCTTTTGTATACTGTGTCCATACTTCTCTGTCAGGCACATAAATTTGGGACATTACAAAATTCAAGGGTGGTCCTGACAGGGTCAAGCTAGCACTTCCTTACTTAATCATAATTAATTATGTAAGCTTTGTAATTTCTTTGTTTCTTTAATTTTGTTACATGTATTCCGTAGTACATTTATTACAGCAGGACATTGTCTTCTTAGATGTCAAGGGTTTTTTTTTCTTCCACTTTTAATTTCTTCTTCAAAACTCTCACATCACATTGCAGACACTATTAGATCTTTTGTCATGGACAGGACCTGTATCCTTTGGAACTGGCCTGGAGGGAACAATAATTATTTATTTTGGAGGGTTTGGAACAGTAAACAGCATGGCCACAGCATTCTGCACTAGAATTGTTCAAGATGCAGATTTCCAAAGGCAGTAGTTCAAATTGCTCAGCGCACAATGCATTCCCATGGTACACGTATAGGTAACTTATGCTATTTTAAGAACCAAAGTCAGCCTTCCGATAATTCATTACCCACTTTTTTAAACATCAGAAATAAATTATAATTTTTTGGTAGAGGTGCGAAAAACTTAGATTGTAACACAGAGTTTTACAGCAGGCCTATACAAAAGACCGGTGCTCAAATTAAATAATACACTGTGGTGGCCCATATTCTCACGTGTGCAGTTAGATTCTAAATATTGCAAAATTCATAGATCTATACATAGAATATAGGTCTACTCATTTAGTTTCATTTCATAAAAGAGAAATATAAGTGCTTGATTGATTAGATTTAACAGTTTTTAGTGAGTACATCTACCGGAGATTTTAAAACTAAATTTTTTTGGGGATAGAGTTAAATGACATTCATCCCACATCTAGATCTAGATCTAGATCTAGTTTTCATACAATAAAGTTGAATCTTGCCTGGCATATTTGGATTGGTTTAATTCTGATGAGAAGCTTGAATTTAAAAAAAAATTAATTACTAAATAATTATGTTTCACTACTCTATCTAGATCTAGTCAGTTCTGCAGAGATGGTCCTAGTAGGCCAACTGCATTAATTAGGCCCTTACTTCTAGACCTAGACTCTAGATCTAGATTTAGTACTAGATCTAGATCTAATTGACCTGGACACTGATACTGGATCTACAATCTATCATCTAATTTAGATCTAGAGATCTAGATATCTATATCTAGATTATATCTAGAATCTAGATCTAGATCTAGATCTAGATATCTATATCTCTAGGATTCTAGATTTAGGTCTAAAGTCTAGATCTAGGTGTTCTAGATCTAGATCTAGATATAGATCTAAATCTAGATCTCTCTAGTCTAGTTAGGCCTACACAAGAGAAAAACGATATTATGTAAGGTTAATGAAAAAGTACATGTGCAAATTCTTACATTTCAGGGTCCTTTGGAAAGCTAACTAATGCTAGGTCTGGTATTTATGCGATCTTGAATTGGCACGGACGCAGACTGCCGCAAAACACCACTTACACTTGCAGGTGACTTGCGACTGCCGATAGCCGCCATTAGCTTTGTTTACCGCGCCTCGTTTCACAATCAGCTGGTGACCTGGATACGCGAAAAGAGGCTTCGTTTCCGCTCTCTATAATTAAATACTCTCTGGGAAAACTTACGTGAAATCCTGGGAAAAAAGACTGCAGTGAAATGCAGAAATTGCCAAAAACACTTTTGTTGTGTCCAAAAAATGACAATTTTTGTTGTTGATTTTCTAAGTCTCGATCTCTACTCTCAATAATTAATGACTTTTCCTTCCGAGAATCAATTTAAAAGTAGTTAGTTCAAGTGTGATAAATAATATTATAGTCATTTTCGCCTGTGCGTGTACAAAAAAAGAAGAAAAGAAGGCCTATGTTTTAAGCAATAGAAAATGACGATATCTGTGTTACTATGAAGATAAGTCAAATATTTTATTGTGAATGTCTCAATATTTTGCTTCGGACAACAATGAAGTACATTGTATTCCAATAAACTTTTATTTCATTAACATAATAACAGGCCTACGGCCTACATTTTATTTGTCCCTTGGCCTATTGCGCATTCATCATTTTTAACTCTTTGCTCAGTTATTGAAAAATCTGGGGTTGCTCAATCAAAGAGATTATAAATATAAAACGAGAGGTCTTAGCTATGACGTCACGAGTTTCGAACTTGAGAGGCGCGCGCCACTCCGGAGAGGCATAAAAGGCCAGTCGTTGCACAACAACACTTTTCAATCACAGATTATTGATACTCTGAGAAGTCTTTTTAATACTGATTTTCTTTTCATATGATTTGCCTGCCGCTAAAATGTACTAATAGGGATTTTTTGCGATTTTACCTTTAAATGAGCCAAATAATCTCCAAATAATGCAAATAGGCCATTTGCACGATTAGACCACATTATGGGTGAGTAAAATTTTGAAAATAAAATAAGATGGACTTAATGATCACTTTTAAAATAAAAACATTATTTAACTGAAATCTTTTGCTGTGTGTCCCTCAAACTGTAACGTCTAGATTTGGCATCATTGGCCACGACAAGGAACTCATATCGGACCTCTGGAATCAGGAATGTGACTGAGAAGCTGAGAAGCTTCAGCTGCAACTCTTGCACACCTTCAAGGCAGGCTCAAAGGAAAAGAACCACTGTCGATGGTATCCTTTTTCTGAACAAACTCAATAAACTCACCTTGTCTCCCTCCGCCCCTCCCCCACCCCACAAACAATACCTCAATAATAAAAAAATGTCATCTCTCTGTTAATATTTTGTAGCCCACATTTAAGTGCATATATGTTTCCCACAATCGGTCAGCAGGTGCGATATTGTGTACATTATATGATTAAACAGCAACAAAACAAAAAGAAAACTTAAAATAAAACTGAAGTAAGCTTCGAACTCTGTGAAGACATAGGCGTTGCGAGGGACGCGCAGCGTGACAACGCTGTGTCGAATCCTCTCAAAAATGGCGACAAAGCGAGCTGAGGGGGCCCGCACAACCTTTTATACCTCTTTGGGTGCTTTACTTTTCGGGTGTCCAGTGTCCAGCTCTGCAGTTATTATGTTATGTTCCAACTTCCGGTCTGGATCGACACTCTCAAGTTCTCAACACATTTTGCATGCATAAAAACTCAGAATTAGCTCTTGGCTTGATCTTGGGAAAAAGCCGATGCCGGTGTGAGTGTGAGAAGAGTTCCTAAAAAATTCTCAGGATAGCCTACTTCTTTGAGACAGACCTTGCAGCCAGGGTTCAACTTAATGTCTTGTCCCCGATTTTCCCGATGTCTGACAGCACTAGAGTATAGTCTAGTACAGTCAGTTGAGTCAGTAGATAGATTAGATCGGCGCTTTTTCGAGTTCCCACCCCGCATTTGTTATTCGCCGGTTTTGGCCCCAAGAGTAGGGGGGTTTCAGGGGGGCTTGCCCACCTGACCTAATAAAAACAAAGTGGGGGGTTTCAGGGGGGCATGGCCCCCTGAATTTTGTAACCAAACTTTAATGTTTTGCAGTTGTTAGGTTTGACATCTTAGCTTGCCGCGAATCAAACGTATATATAGAGATCTAGATCTAGAAATCTAGATCTTGATCTAGATGTAGGTCAGGCTCTATCAAATAAGGGGGGTGGGAACTACCGAAAAAGCGCCGATAGATCTACTATCACTACTAGATCTATCACTCAGTAGGCTGAGGCCTAGATCTACCTCCTACTCCTCAGTCATGCTCACAATATTCCATGCCAGCAGTTTCTGTCTGTCTCGGACACACTTTAATTAAGACTAATATAGAGAGCATGCGTCATGCTGTCACTGTCAAGAAAGGGGAAGTTTAACCCTAGTACCCTAGAAGCGCTCAGCGTTTCACCGGAAGTAACCCGCCAAAAATGCCCCG